CCTTGGAATTGAAAACTGGTTATTAGAATCTATATACCAAAAATCTTTATAACCATAGATACATCAGTAAAGAATCAAATCACCCTCATAACATTCGAGATAATTTACATAAATCAGTCCAACTTAGATTATCTATTAATTCCAGCAATAAGGAAATATTTCATAATAATGAAACTAAATATATAAATACTTTAGAACTAAGCAACCATAAAGTAAATTTAGATAAAAACAAAAAAGGTAAAAATAGAAACACTGTAGGCGTAATATGCTTTAACCCACCTTTTAATCGTAATTTTCAAACGAATATCCGAAGATTTTTTTTTCCTAAATTTAATTCTTTACATAATTTACATTGTTTGGACTGTTGTCCTCATCTTTATTACGATATTCACGAGGTTTCAGCCGTTGTACGTTCCGGCCTTCTTCAGGTAATTGGAATTTCTAACTGAACCCTCTATTTCGTCCACCGCAGTAGATTGTTCTAGTTCCGCGTGCCATGCCTCTTCCGGGTGTCTCAGTTATCTCCTTTTAACTCAACTCTCCAAGTTTTTTTTTTCAGGTATTGAAGTCACAACTGTTTGGGTCAAGTCACTGGATTCAACTGACGCTTTTATCCACTGTATCCTAGAGGACATCATTTTTACTAGAACTCATATTGCAATTTATTGCTTTTCTCTAGAATTCCGTATTACTGGTTCCCATATTGTATTCATTTCTATGCTTGGCCGGCTCAGGAGATTTTTGTGGCCTGTCATATGTGCTGATTCCTTAAGTTTTCGTATTTTCCAGTGATGGTCTCTGTCTATTATTTCAGGCATATCCTACAGGGGACGGTGATCTCCCTTTTCAATCTATATGTGGTCAGCTGATTTTTCTATTTTCCCATAATGTTGTGGCTTTGCGATGTTCTGGCCGTCTTAAGGGTGTGGCCAGTTTCTCCTTTATATTTCTTACAACAGATGAATGGGATGGCATACACATAGTGCTTAGTCATGTTCTCCTCTATGTGGGGGGGGGATCTTACTCGGAAGAGTTGTCTGTGAAGTGTCGAACCACCAGATTGTCCTGATGTTATATGAACCACAGGTCTTTTGTGTTTTCTCCGATAATCCCTTCACATAGGGTAGGCAGACCGAAGCTGTTTCATGAGTATTGTTATCCTCTTGTACCCTTCTATTACACTTTGTCGGAGATGTTGTCATGTACCCAGGGTAGTTGTTATGTTGTAGGGTATTGCTTATACTGACCATTTCTTCATCATATGTCTCTGGGTTGCCATATCACTTTTGCTCGATGTTGAAAACAATGGACGATTCTTTTCTTTAGACTCTATGGGTGGTGGGAGTGGAAGTTGAGGTATTGTCCGGTGAATGTTGGCTTGGAGTATACGGATGTCTTGAACCCATGCTCTGTTCGAGATATTAGTACATCCAGGAATGCGAGTTTGTTGTTTTCTTTCTTCATTGTGAACTGTATCGATGATCTTAATCATTATTTCTTTAATCAAATTAGTTCCCCGCTGTCAAAGTACTGGAATAAATTTCTGTGGATCCTGGAAAAAAGCCATTGCTCGAATTTTGAAACTGGTTATTGATTTATTAACAGATTTATACATTCCATTTCATACTTTTAACATGTCTACATTAAATAATTCGTTTCTTCGATATCTCTGATTTTACAGAACCTGCAATTTTTGAGACATAAATCCTAAATACTTGGCCGAGGCCTAGTTTCCAATTGATGAGTTCAAATGTGAGTATTTAATCAATATGACAGAAGAGGATCGATGTTTGTCACCAGTATGTTATGTCACCTGTTGATTGTGAAACCTCGCTTTAAATGTTTTTTTTTTAATATTTTTCTGTCATTCAATATTAAGTCTAGTTTTCTTCATGTCTATTTTTTCTTTTATTATCGATGTCAAATGGTTGATATCGACACGCAATCTAAAAGAGATGTTTTGTCTCTCAAGAGTCTACTTGACACTTTTACATACCTATTCAAACCGGTGCACATAAACACACATGCATACACAGAAAGAGAGAGAGAGTGGGGGGATAGAGAGAGAGAGAGAGAAAGAGAAAATATAAGTGAACTCATGCACCTCCACAACACTCCTAGGTACGTAATCATGAACACGTAAATATATATACATTGATAGGTATACGTGCATACCTAAAGACGTAGAGTAACCTCTGACCGCATTTACATCAACAATTGATATTCAAGCCTGGTCATGTCGATATATTTTTTTTTAAATACAGTTACAGGAAAACACCAACGATATCCTCGTGAAGAATTTGGTTAAGTGGAAATTATAGACTTTACTAATTATACCAAATGAACGACACAGCAGATGAACAAGAATTTAAGCTGAGCTTTTAAATTAACTTCTCTTCCTCTGTTTATTGTCGCTTTTTTTTCTTTTTTGTTATCAATGTTATTATTACAGGTTGAAAATCCTTTATTCGAAATTCTTGGAACCGGAAGTGCCTCGGTTTTCAGATTTTTTCTGATTTTGGGATACAGGATGTTTACATTGTATATAGCATTTATAAAATGGGAGACCTTGGGAATGGAAGCGAAGCATAAACACGACATCCCTTTACATTTCATAACACAGCTTATACATATACCCGGAAGGTAGTTTTATATAAAATTTAACAAATTTTGTGTCCATACAGATAATTATGTTAGTCATGTAATGCTCACGCAGATTTTTAAGTGATGAAATTAAAATTTCATGTAAAAATAATGTTTTTTACTTTTTGTATGTGTACAAAAAACATGATCACTGCTTACGAAAAATATATGAAGGCAGGACTTTTTGACATTTTGTATAATATCTTTAATGAGCACAAAACACCTGGTAAGTAATCCACGAACAAAGGTGTAACTGTGACGATCGCTAACAAAAAAAAAAAAAAAAAAAACTGGTGCCAATGTAGGTTACGTAGCTGGGTTGGTGAACCTCTACCCAGGACAGATGAGGTCACTTACAACAGCTGCACATCACCTAGAAACATTCGCAGTGCTATCTGAAATTTTCCATTTGTGGCAAGTCATGTCAGCACCTGAAAAACCTTTTCGGATTTTGGAGGTTTTCGGATTTGGGAACTCTCGGATAAAGGATACTCAACATGGCGTACATTTTGTGCCAATTTTGTAGCATTTTATTAATAATATTTTATCCATTACATCAAGAGATTTCAAATTCTCCTACCAATAACAATGTTCGTTAAAACAATATTTTCATAAGTTTCGATTTTGACATTTTGTGATTTATACAAGTTGACGCACACTATTCAGTAGTTCGGCAGCTTCATTTATTCCCGCCGGTAATTTGAATTTTGAGCTCATTAGTCCGTAAGTAGAAAAGAAAACATTCCGCGAGAAATCGAACCTGAAGAAAAAATCGCAACCTTGTAATTTTATTGTTAACATCTATTTGTCATTAGTAAGAAGAGAAGCTGGGAAAATACTGATATAATTAAAAAAATATTCGAATTCTTAAAAACTAGAAAATAAAGTAACATATTTCACTTCGTGGGACTTTCTAAGTTTATAATTTATTTGCTAACTCACATTGTAGGTTTTACTTTTACTTTTTATAAGTTAAGATAAATAAACATTTTTTGACGTAATACTTTAGTAGGCCAGGTTTTCTTTACTTTCATAATAATGCATTTGACTCACAATACATTAAACAATTTCTGGAAGATCTCCGTCAAATTCTGAATAGAGGCAAAGCGTCAGTGTTTACTATTATAAATGGTCCTGAGGTCATTTCCTCCTCGTCAGATAACGTTAGATGACATAGACCTTCCCGACTCACTGAGTACAACTCAGTAATATTTTTATTTACAGTCTCAAGACTTATAAAACTCTTGACCCTAAGATGTTTACTGGTCCAAACGAAATCCCAGCCGTTGTCCTCAAGAGTATTAATCCAGTGTTATCCCCAATTTAGCGAAATTATTTAACCGCTGCGTGAAGCAGAAATTCTTCCCAGGTCTGTATCAAGTGTTCCTGTTTTCAAGGATACAGGTGAGCGCTCACCCGCTCAAAATATAGACCCACAAGTTTTCTCCGTATCACAAGCAAACTTGTAGATATAATCAACAAGAAGGTTGTTGATCAACTCATTAGGAACAACCTCTTGAGCCACAAACAGTACGGGTTTCGATCGGCCCGGTCCACTGCTGATATCCTAGCCATGGATATCTATATTCCTTGATTCCACCAGTTATAAGCTTCATGACTAAGACCCAACATACCGCGCACATTGTAGCGAACCACCCTAATTCTCTTCATATTCCATTGGCGAGATGTAAATTCCACTCGAGCAGCAGCTTCTTATGAACCACTGCTCTGTGGAAACGACTCCCAAGAAGATGCTTCCTCAATCACTCCAATCTTAACCTGTTCAAATCTAGGGTTAATAGTTATCTCCCCCATAAATCCGCATAAAATGTGCCTCTTACTCTGTAACACTCTACCTAGAGTGGCTCTCGGGCCTTGTACAGAGTGAACATCAGTGTAAAAAACAAAAAAGAAAAAGTGTACTATGGAGTACAGGACTAAGACTATGCTATAAAAGAGTTCAGTAATCCTGAAGTAAGTTTATGTCTATGTAACTTGTAAAAAGGTATACTTTGATTTTGATATTATCTTAAAATTCACTATCTGTCTATATTTTTGAGATGAGGTATTGTAAGAATTTATACTATTTACATTGTTCGGATTGTTTTCCTCATTTTTATTGATATGTTCACGACGTTTCGGCCGTTGTACGCTCAGGCCTTCTAACCCGTAGACTAAATAAAGAGTCCGAAAATTCCAACTAATATCTCTTGAAAAAAAGCCGGAGCGTACAACGACCGAAAAGTCGTGAATATGGCATTTAAAGATGAGGACAACTGTCCGAACAGATAATAGTGTGAAATTCACCAATTCGGAAATTTTTCTTCTAGGCAGCCGTATTCTCCCAGGTTGCCCGGATGTTCAACCTGCATGAAAAGCACAGTACGTTAAATAATGTGATTACTATCTCCACTACAGCCATTGCTCATTTCATTCTCCTACAACCTTATTCTCACGGAGTCTCGGATATTAGTAAATGTGACACCAAGTTTTATGGGTACACCTTCAAAAATCTAGATGACCAAAACCTGGCAGTTGATCTATCTTCTAAGCTATTACGCACTGCAAAGAACAGTCAATATCTCAAAAGCTAAGCTAGTGACGTTTCATCATCACCGAGTTGTCCAATCACGATGAACGGTTGGACTCTCATTGAGGCTCCATGCCCGGAACGTCTCACTCCAGACTTAAAGTAGAACACGTATATACTATCCATTGCTATAGACGCTACAAAGGTGGTCGGCTCGCGGTAACGCTCCAGAAAGTACCTGGTTCCACCTGGCATGCTCTATCGCTACGAGACCCAAATTCGGCCTAAAATGGAATATTGCCACCGCATCTGGATCTGCCCAGTTATCATTTTTCAGCCTCGAGCGATTTCAAAAATTCGATCTATCTATCTTAGTCTGTTCATATCTATCTATCTATCTATCTATCTATCTTAGTCTGTTCATATCTATCTATCTATCTATCTATCTATCTTAGTCTGTTCATATCTATCTATCTATCTATCTATCTATCTATCTTAGTCTGTTCATATCTATCTATCTATCTATCTATCTATCTTAGTCTGTTCATATCTATCTATCTATCTATCTTAGTCTATTCATATCTATCTATCTATCTATCTATCTTAGTCTGTTCATATCTATCTTAGTCTGTTCATATCTATCTATCTATCTGTCTATCTTAGTCTATTCATATCTATCTATCTATCTGTCTATCTTAGTCTATTCATATCTATCTATCTATCTATCTATCTATCTATCTTAGTCTGTTCATATCTATCTTAGTCTGTTCATATCTATCTATCTATCTTAGTCTGTTCATATCTATCTTAGTCTGTTCATATCTATCTATCTATCTATCTATCTATCTATCTATCTATCTTAGTCTGTTCATATCTATCTTAGTCTGTTCATATCTATCTATCTATCTTAGTCTGTTCATATCTATCTTAGTCTGTTCATATCTATCTATCTATCTATCTATCTATCTATCTATCTATCTATCTATCTATCTATGTCAACAGTCTGATATATTTCTGAGAACAAAATATTATGAGAACTCAAATAAATAAATAAAAAAACATTATAGCCTGACCCAGAAACTTTCAATCCCCTCTCGTATATATAATGTGCACAGGGTAATTAATAAAATTCTCAGATCACAAGTAAATATATATGCAGGTGATACCACTGTTTATATGAGTACCAACAACAATCTAGATTACCACATAGCTTCTCGCTGCCCTATCGTTATTCTCATGGCACAGTTCAGACGAACCACATTCCTTGCTTTCATAAATCCAGACCTTCACAGCTAGGACGCGCCATACTACGTACACAGAGTCGATACCATTAGCAAGGGGGAAGTTCAACAGCTTCTTCCTAAGACGCTACGTTGTAGAACAGACCCCGTAAAGTATGCTTCCTCGATCACTACAAACTTAATCCCTTCAGTTGTAGAGTTAACCGTTATCTATCCTATATATCCTCATAATATGCACTTCTTATTCCCTCCTTGTCCGCCTATACAACAACTTAATTCAGTAACCCTCTATCTTGAGTGGCTCTTGGGCATTGTATTCGGTGAACAATAATATATTTTTTAAAAGTCAAAAGTAGTTACCTCCAATAAGTCGCTAAAAACCAGTACAGCATAATGATAACAGGTCCGAAACCTAATAAAAACAAAGTTCCATCATTAAAATGTTTATGTTATTATTAAGAGGAAAGAACAAAGTATTTTTTAAATATTTCTTAAAATTTTTTCTTCTTTCTAACACGTTCTAAATTTAGGTAAAAATTTAGTTTTTTTTTTTTGTTAACTTGGTAAGACTTGTGGTCATCGCTTTTTTTAGTGTAGCAGTTTCAGGAGAAACCCATTAATTTGGAAATTCTTGCAATAATCAAATAATTGTCTAATTTAAATGAAACTTTCAGGACTTATTAAAAAATGAATGAATTTATTTTTGAATTTTTTATTTTTAGGAAATCTTGAAAAAATATATTTTTTTACATCTGTTACCGCCCCCCAAATTAATTTTATGAAATTTTCTAGAATTTCAAAGCGTTCGCAAATTGTTTTATATTACTTATATGAATAACTCCTTGGAGTAATTAAATAATCATTGTTTTTTCCACAACTACTACAAACTTTTTAAAAATCTGCTCCAAATCGTAAAATAAAAACTGCGATAAACTATCTAATTGTCAAATTAGATAGGCTTTTATTTGATTTTATAAATATTATACATTAAGGACATTATTATCTGAAGAAAAATTTTTTTTCGATGAACAAACAATTTTTGCAAGAATTGCTTGCGTTTTTCTTTTCATTTTTTTTCCCTTTTCTTTAAATTTTAAAA